CCCCACACACGGCTAATGTGTAAGGTAAATGTGATGGGAGTCACTTTGGGTGGGGGGCCCATGGAACCCAGCTCACTTTGGAGGAGAAGTGGGGAGACCTGGAGCTCAGGCAGCGGATTCGGGTGGTGCTTTGCATTGGAGCCCTCCAGGTTGCTGGTATGTACAAGGGCAAGTGCTATCCAACACCAGGGAAACAGGCCAAGGACCAACGGGAGTTAGGGATGCCATTCCTAGGAGAGCGACCCCAGGAGCAATCTGTGACTGAGTTGGACAAGCTGGTACAGCAGGAGCTAGAGCTGGACAACCGATATCTGGCTCTGCAATGGCATGCAGAGCAGAAATATTTAGAGGTGACAAGAGAATGCTCTGCGGAGGGAAAGGGCTTTGGTGGCCCTGGATTGCTGTGGGAGAGCCTTACAGATCATTTTGTGTTTGGCGATGAAGGAGAACCTACCCTTGAGGACCTGCGAGAAGACAGAGAGGCTATGTTCGTTCTCACAGCTTGAACCCGATCTGCAATACCTGCTGATGAAAGAACAGCATCTGGAAAGGGCATACAGGCAACTGCTAAAACATGTTCAGCAGCGTGCCCAAGAATCAGCAGTGGAAATTCCAGAGATTGCCATCCCCAAACCTGCAGTGCTGACAAAAGGGCTGCTAGCCTCTGCCCAGCACTGGTACCATCTTCTGGGTTCCACGGACAAGAGATGGTGAACCCCTATCCCCAGACACCAGTTCCAGAGACTGGGGATTTGATTGACTTTTCTGCTGAGGAAAACCAGCCCGTGCGCCTCCAGCAGAAGAGCTGTCATCAGGGCATGGCGATGTTGACCTCTGCCCACAACAATCAGCACCGCAGGAGCTACAGGAAGAGGATGTCCGTGGATGGGACTTCGGTCTCCCCTGACAACCCCAGAAAAGGGTCTGGCATTGGGACAGGAGGATGTCAGTCTTACTTTGCGAACACCGGGGGATGTCCATCAAGTCAAAGTTGATGAGACTACAGTCACCACCTGGATATCCCAGGGATACTGGGCAGTCAGCCCAGATCCCCAACAGCATGATAGAGTCGGCCCAGCCACCCTGTCTTCTCTCCAGCGGCTAAGAGGACTTCAGGGAGAAGGACCAGTCCGTACTTCTCCCCAGCGGCAGGTATGTTCTACGAGAGAGGCAGAGGTTTGCTGGGTGAGTAATATTTTATGTGGGGCAATTTGCTTGGGGTACTGTGTGGGTGCTGGCATTGAGTGACTGGAAGCACAGACTAACTTCGGAGTTAACCCGTTTGGGGTCTCCTCCTGTGTTAGTCCCCTGCTGAAAGAGGAGTCACTTTGGGTGAGGGGCCCAAGGAACTCAGCTCACTTTGGAGAGGTGGGGAGACTCCTGTCTCAGCTCCCCATATCCCTCTTATGTGTAAATCGCCCTGTGCCTGTTAGGGGTACAGGGTGATCTGTCCTAATTTTGTGTGGGCTTTGTCTCAGACTGTGTAGACATGTTTAGGAGATAGGTGGGGTGGGGGTTGTTGATTGTTTAATGTTATGTGGCTGCATCCCATTGTTCTATTGTCTGGCTTGGGAGCAAACTATTATGGGATGTATGTGTTTATGTGTATTAGCTTAGTGAAAGGGGGGGGGGGGTGACCCCAGCAGCCCTCCCTCCTGATGAGACTGTCTGCTGGTGTGAAGTTTGAATATCTGCCTCTCTCTTGTTACTAAATGTAGATTGCCCCGCCCTGTGTCATTATGCAGGGAGGGGGGATTGGCCCCTGAGTGTATATATCTTGTTCAAATAAAGTAGTCTTGTATGGTTGACTGTGGTGTCTGTTGTTGGTGTTCGGACGGGGAAGCGGTATTGTAACAGAAATACTCAAGCGCAGTCTGGGTCATTTACAGTAAAGTCTACAGCCTTGAAAAAAAAATCAGTTTGTAAGTGGACAGAAAACTGGCTAAAAGACCATATTCAGAGTATTGGTTAATGATTCATACTCTGAATGGTCTAGAGCTGTTAGTGGTGTACCCCAAGGTTCAGTGTTGGGACCTTTTCTTTTTAATATATTTATAAACAATATAGGGCCTGGGAGTAAAAAGTAACATTTCAGTCTTTGCAGATGACACCAAGCTATGCAGTGGAATAACACCCCTACAGGATGTCTCCAACTTACAAGCTGACAATGCACAGTTTAGTTGGGCAACTGTGTGGCAAATGAGGTTTAATTCTATGTTTATTTCAGGTGGGCTGGAGATCTAAGTGTCAAATTTGTTGAGCACCTAAAAAAAAAAAAATAAAACAAAAAAAAAAAATCCCTTTTTCTTCTCATATAATGCTAAATTATGTTTAATGTTGATAAATGTAAAGTTATGCACTTGGGGGCTAAGAATATGGTAAAGGAACTGGGTTTTCTGGTAGATCATAAGTTTAATCATAGCAAGCAATGCCAAGCTGCAGTTTCCGAAAGAAGACAAAATACTTTGCTATATAAAAAAAAAAAAAAAAAAAAAAAAAAAAAAAAAAAAAAAGGGAGGAAGAAAGAATTTTATCCCTGTACAAATCATTAGTAAGGCCTCATCTGGAATATGTAGTTCAGTTCTGGGCAAACAAACTGCTAAGAGGCATTGAGGAACTCAGCTATGAGGAAAGATTAGAGGTACTGAATTAATTTTCTTTGGGAAGAGGAGATTAAGGAGGGATATGATTAACATATAAAACACATAAAAGTGATTCATAAAGTGAACTCGGTGTAGAGTCATTCACCTTAAGGTCAGCACAGAGGACAAGGGAGCACTCTTTATGCCTGGAGGAAAAGCGATTTAACCCCCAAATACAAAAAAGGCTTTTTAACAGTAAGAGCTGTGCAAATGTGGAGTAGGTTCTGGGCAGCTCAGGAGATGGTTTTAAAAAAGGCCTGGATTTCCTAGATGCACATAATATAACTGGATATGAATATTTATAGGTAAAGTTGATCCAGGGAATAGTCGATTGCCTCTTTGGGGATCAGGATGGAATTTCATCCCCCCGCTGGAGAAAATTGGATCATGCTTTATTGGGGTTTTTGCCTTGCCCCGGATCAACCGTGGGTATAGGATTTTGTATGTGGAGGCTATTTGTGTGTGTGTGTGTATTTTTTTTTTTTAAACTTAGATGGATGAGTCTTTTTTCAATCAGAAACTATGAAACACACACACACACACACACACACACACACACACACACTTTCATATATCTGTTTGAGAAGTGAAAATAAACCTACTGGTCTTTTCCAGTCTTTAGAGTTGTCTGGTGTCCCGCACATTTGTGTAAGTTCACATTCTGGCAGATTTTCAGTAAAAATGCCCCTATGCAATGCTAAAGTCCAGTAAATAGTACATACTCCCATTCCAGATAAAGGGGTCCACTCCAGGAAAACCACTGACCTCTTATTGTTCTTCATTCAGTCATTTGTAGGATGGGCTGAATTTCACAATAATGTCCCCCCTAGAAGCCGATCCAGCTGCTCAGCCTGCCTGAATGCTTAATGCATTCTCTCCCATCTCCAACTTAGCAGTGGCCATTGTGGGCCATTTCAAACTTCACACATGCACACAGTCTCCTTCTCCAGCTGACCCAATTATATGTTATACAAAAAAGCTTAATCATTCTATGGACCAGTGTGCCAGTTTACTTTCCTTTATGTTCTAACAGTGCCACAAGTGCCAATTCTTCCTTGAAAAATCAGCTGCAGCACATTTTGTCTTTTACCATTAAATATTTATATAAAATCAGTCTGATAAGGACTTTAACTCATCATTGTATTGCTCTTATATAAACAAAATATATTTACTAATTTTATACATCTTTCTTCACTATAGGGCTATATTCTTTAAAGCCTCACGCACACTGGACATTTTTTTTTTTTTTTTTTTTTTACAGATGTTAGGGAGTCTGACTTTTTTTTCTGCCTCCAAACACTGCTGCATGGTGGCCTATGTGTCCATGTGCATATAGGCTTTAGAGGCAGGGGCGTTTAAAGGAAGAAGAAAAACCTTCCACTAACCGTGCGTCCACAAGCAGTTACATTTTGGTGTAAATGTGTTTTAAGTGCTAGACAAGTCAAGTGCTTGAGTGTTAATTTCAAAAAGGTCAGAATAAATTGTTATTCTGCACAATTAAATTAGTTAAAGCCCAAACGCTTGATGAGCTTATGCACATTTTCATGAGTCAAGTGTTTTTCTGTCAAAACGATGCTGCAGGAGGAAAGGTGTCTAGGAGGGATGGGCAAACGCCTTGTGTGCATGAGGCTTGATATTTCTTCAGAACAACCCTAACCGCTGCCCCTCTTCAAGTGCAGAGCGACAATGGTACAAATGTACATTTGAATTCCACTATGGTTAGTGTCTGGGAGCACCTTTTTACTTTCTCAGTCTAACCCATACATTTTTCCTCAAAAGTAATTGACACAAATGCTCCTGCACTTGGGGGTGAACTTGATATAGCTATAAATTCTTTGTGGAAAACCTGGATGGTGCACACCTTGCTGCCCTCAAAAAACTGGGGAAGTCCAAATACTGGATGCAAAGAAAACAAAAAGGGCGCACTGGCCTAGTGCATTACCTTAAATAACATTTGATAAAAATGATAGGTAATATACTCACAAAAGACAAACATATATAAGTTCATCATAAAGAACAGCACTGTTCAGTCCGCATGGTGTGGCCATTCACATGGGAGCACTGGACCTCCAACAGGCTGACGCGTTTCGAGGATTTGCCTCTTCCTCAGAGCCAGTATACACAGTGCCTGTACCCTCTTTATAAATGGTCTGATAAGTGCAAGTGTCACAAGTGGGCCGTCACCCCCTCCCCCAGAGGCAAGCTTATATAAGTTTGTCTTTTGTGAGTATATTACCTATCATTTTTATCAATAAATGTTATTTAAGGTAATGCACTATGCCGGTGCATCCTCTTTGTATTTATAAAATTTTACAGGTTGTCTGAGATCCCATGTTTTCCACAAATCAAGGTGTTTACCTAGAATTTGAGCCCTCTGAGCTGGAGGGAAAAGAACCTGTAAGCAGCGGTTCAGATATGGCATCAAATCCTCCAGGAAAACTGTGCAGAATTGAACAAATAGTTCACTTTCCTGAATGCTGAAAGCAGCTTCCTCAGCCCGATGGAATGATAGGATAGTTTTCACAACCTGTAGAGAAGAAGACAGAAGTCAAACAATTTTTGACATCACCTCATTAGAAAAATAGTTACACACACACTTCCTGTGCGAGCCGCGCGCACGCCTACCAGTGCTGCCATTCGCGACCACAGCTGTCAATCACCGAGTCCCGGCCGGTAATTACTCACCAGCACCTGGTGATTTCCGAAGATCTCCGATGGGGAGGAGGACTGTTTTGTTTACTAACAGTTCTCCTCCCTGTTAGCTCTGGCACACTGCTGTGGACGGCTGTGCAGGGTGATTACAGTAAAGCACGCTGACAAGGCCCCCTAGTAAAAAACACTCCCTGCACACAGTTAACCCTTTGATCGTCCCTCATTTTATCCCCTTCCTACCCAGTGCCATTTAACTAGCAATTGCTTTATCATACAACACTGTACCCAAATGAACATTATACCATTTTATTTCATATATATGGAGCTTTGTTTGGTGGTATTTGATCACCACTGGGATTTTTTTTTCTTTAACCACATGCCGCCCAGCCACTGTATAAATACGGCAGCAGGGCGGTACGGCTGGGCAAAAGCACGTTTTTAAAACGTGTTTTGTAAACAGGTAGGGGGCGCGCGTGAGGCGAGCCGCCGCCCTCCCTGTCCTGCCGATCACAGCCACGGATGTCAGTCGCCGGGTCACAGCCGGTCGTTACTGGCTATGTCCCGGCGATCATCGCTGACAGAGAGCACAGCTGCAGTAGCTGTGCTTTCTGTCAGTTCCCTGACAGCTCCAGGACAAGCTGATCGGGACAGAAGAGTTTCTCTCTCCCGATCAGCAGTGTTCCCTGCAGTACACACCCCCGCCCCCTAGTTAAACACATTCCTCACAGTTAACCCTTTCCCTGAAAAATAAACTTAACCCCTTCCTCCCCAGTGCCATTAGTACAGTGTCAGTGTTTTTTTTCTTTGCACTGATCACTGTATTGGTGTCACTGGGGATGTCAGTGACCCCAAGTCAGTACCCCCCAATGTCAGAATGTCCGCCGCAGTCCCGCCATAAGTTGCTGATCGCCGCCATTCGTATAAAAAAACCCCAAAAAAAACCTAAAAATCCCAGTATCTTTCCAGCCATTTGTAAACGCTATAACTTTCACGTAAACCAATTAATTTACACGTATTGGGTTTTTTTTTTTTTTTTTTTAGCAAAGACATGTCGCAGAATGCATTTTGGCAGAAAATTTATGAATTTGATTTTTAAATTTTTTTTTACTGGACATGTTTTATAGCAAAAAGTCCAAAATATTGTTATTTTTCCTCAAAATTGTCAGCCTTTTTTTTTTTATAGCGCAAAAAATAAAAACCGCACAGGGGATCAAATACCACCGAAAGAAAGCTCAATTTGTGGGGAAAAAAAAAAAAAAAAAAAAAAAAAAATGTAAATTTCATTTATGTACCGTTATGTCCGTTAAACTAGCGCAGCGCTGTATAGCAAAAAAGGCGTAAATTGCAGTATCTATACCATAGTTTGTAGACGCTATAACTTTCACACAAAGCAATCAATATACACTTTTTGGGATTTTTTTTTTTACCAAAAACATGTAGCAGAATACATTTTGGCCTAAATTTATAACCAACTTAGTTTACTATATATTTTTTTTATAGCTGAAAGTAAAAAATATTGTTTTTCTTCAAAATGTTTGCCCTTTTTTTGTTTATAGCGTGAAAAATAAAAAGCGCACAGGTGATCAAATACCACCGAAAGAAAGCTCTATTTGTGTGAAAAAAAGAATGTAAATTTCATTTGAGTGCAGCATTGCATGACCGCGCAATTATCAGTTGAATTAGTGCAGCGCCGAGTAGCAAAATGAGGCCTGTTCATTAAGGGGGGGGGGGGGGGGGTAAATCCTCTGGAGGTCAAGTGGTTAATTAAAAAAAAAAAAAAAAAAAAAAAAAAAAAACAAAAAAACAAAAAAAAAAAAAAAAAAAAACACACCAAAAACAAAACCAAAACCACACAAACATATCTCCTAATAAATGCATGTTAATCGGTTTGTGTGAAAGGTATAGCGCCTACAAACTATGGTATAAATACTGGAATTTACGCAACTATAGACACTATATTGGTAATGGCGATGATCAGCGACTTATAGTGGGACTGTGATAGAATAGTGACCAATCTGGCACTAACAGACACTGGCTGGGAGAGAGACACCAACGCGGACATCACTAGTGACACTAATACAGGGATGAGATATAATACTGTACACTGTAGTGATGACACTGGCTGGGAGAAAGTTAACATCTAGGGGCAATTAACAGGTTATCTGTGTGACTAACAAGTGTAATGTGTGCTGCTTTTACTCACAAATCTGGCTGTTTTTTCTACCTGTTTTTTCAGGGAGAAGAAACAGCCAGATTGCTCTTCCGTTTGCACAGAGTTCTGTGTATTTGTATAGGATATATATCACAGTGGTGTATTTAATTTTTGTGCTGCCCTAGGCAACTCAAAAACTGTGCGCCCCCCCTTGCCCCTTTCCCAGTGAGAGAGGTTGCATGGTGACAGTAGCAACTAGGGTGTAAAAGGTGGTGACAAAGAAGGGGTGTATACAATGTATTATGGGGGGTGATGGGGGAGCCATAGCTGTACAAAAGGTGTGATGGGTGAAAGCAGGAATTGTGGAGCGTGATGGGTGGCGAGAGGTGCAGGAGGGTTTATGTGATTGGTGTATGCAGAGTATAGTAGGGTGGGATCTATGAGATATGCTGGCAGGATATGTTGGGGTGTGATGAGTGTAATGGGGAGTGTTGGGTGATGTCAGGTCTCTGCAGGGAGTGGATGGGTGTATGCAGGGTATGGTGGGATGTAAATTCCCTCCGACTCACAGACTGCCCCATATACACCGATTCCTCCCGCCCCTCCCCCCTTACAGACTGCCCCCATATACACGGATCCCTCCTCACAGACTGCCCCCATATACACCGATTCCCCCCACAGACTGTGGAGGGAATCAGCGTATATGGGGGGAAGTCTGAGGAGGGATTAGCGTATAAGAGGCAGTCTGTGGGGGGAATCAGTGTATATGGGGGGCAACCTGCCCCCATATGCACTAATCCGTCCTCACAGACGGACCCCATATACACTGATCCCCCAAACACAGACTACCCCCATATACACTACACAGATTCCCCCCCAACAGACTGTAGCCATATACACCGATTCCCCCCCAACAGACTGTCGTATATGGGGGAAGCTGTAGGGAGAATCGGTGTATATGGCTACAGACACACACACACACACACACACCCCCCCCCCCCCCCCCACCCCCCCCCCCCCCCCCCCCCCCCCCCCCCCCCCCCCCCCCCCCCCAATGGCTCCTGGCACTTCTAAATTCCGGCTGATAGGAACACCAACAAGACAGAGTATGACAGTGATCATCGTACATTTCCAGCCTCAATTTCTCCCTATCCTCACCTTCTGACCTCTCACCACTCCAGCAACAGCAGGACTGTACGCCGGATTTCCTTCTTCCTCCGCCTCCTGGGTGGCGGCTGGTACACTGGGGTGGCTCACCGCACTGACACACTGAGCCCAGCATGTCCCCATCCTCACCTCACCTGCCGACTTCCCAACGCTCCAGCAGCCATGCCATGTCCGCAGGACTGTACACTGGATGTCCTTCTTCCTCCTTCTCCTCGGCGGCCGGTACACTGGGAAGGCTCACCGCACTGACACACTGAGCCCAGCATGTCCCCATCTTCATGTGTGTCCCTTCTTCCAGGGGGTGGCGCCAGCCCCTGAAAAATGCCGTCCTAGGCAAACGCCTTCTTTGCCGGCGATAAATACTTCACTGTATATATTTTTTTTTTCTGTATATCTGAACAGTTGCAGCATGCTATATTATTCTGTCAAAAACATCTCTCTTTTAGCACAACAGTTTAGCTGTTCAGTTCCACCTTGTTTGTAAACAAAGCAAAATTATTTGAAAGCATATTGATACTCCTAGTGTATCTGAAAGTGTTGTCAGATACGCTGCACAGAATACTGGTTGCCACTTAGTTTTTTGACGTTTACTTATATATCCTCAGCACAAAAACAGGAAAGGGTTAACGAACATTAAATTTGGTCAACCTACATTAGAGCTACATGCTTAGCCACTTGATTACTAGCTTGTATATAACACTTCCTCACCAGGCCATTTTAATGCTGTGATAGTTTGACAATTACGCAGTCATGTAACACTGTACCTCAATCTATTTTATATGATTTTTTTTAAACAGCTTTCTTTTGGTGGTATAAAAAAAAAAAAAAAAAAAAAAAACAAAAAAACAATTTTTGAAAAATTGACTGCCTATTGCATTTCCTTCGGTCATAAAATGCCCCTAAGATTGTTTAATTTTAGGGTGTTAGTGCATACAGCTGAAGGCAGGGGTCAGGAATATGTAGTGCACAATAGCTTACAGATTGTAGTGTCCAGGAGATAGGTGCTCCCTTATGGTTGTGGACCATGGTGAGAGCCCCTTTAAAATGTTGGTGATCAGTGGTAAGTGCTCCACAGCTGGTGGTGGTCAGTAGTGTTTCTCCCTCATAATGGTGATCAGTGTGCTACTTTTATGGTCAATATGCCCCCTCACTTCCCATTGTGTCCCGTTTTGTTGGTGGACAGTGGGAACAGAGTTACTTACAGTTACACATTGGCAAAGTGATCAGCGACAAAGAAAGGGGAGGGTCTGTTTATAATTTGTGATCGTTGTGTAATTGGTTCACAGCAATCAGAAGGTACATGGCCAATTTGATGGGCTCTGTACATTTTGCCTGTGCTCTTGCAATCTAAGAAAAGAGGCATGCATAAGAATTACATCTTTGGTTTAAAGACCAGGGAAAGCATACAAATTACCTTTTCTAAAGAATCTTGAAGCGTGTTGGTCACCTTCTGAGTTAGAGCTACTGGACAGCAAAGACGCAAGTCATTAAAGGCCACCAGAATGTTGTTAAGAAAGCATGCTAGTGGAGGGAAATCCAGAAGCACCATAGGAGGCTGCAAGGTTCCAGGCTGGGCAGGTGGTGTTGGAACTGGTGGGATACTGGTGCCCAGCACCATGGGGGAGGACATCATTGTATACATGTTCATCTCCTCCTGGAATTTCTCCACGGCTTCCTTGGCTGCTCGTGCAAAGTTCTCAGCAGCGACACGCTGAAAGATAGGTGCTAGTTGACCACGGAAATCGGCACCCACGCGGCTGAAGGACAGTCCAAAGTACATGCACTGACCCAAAAGAGAGTCTAGCCTGCTACCTACACCCTTTTGAAGGTCACTTTCCAGCACTTGTAGAAAGTCACTGATCTTCTGCAGCACCCAACCATGAAATATAGCCGACTCATTCACAGGAAAAAGGCCGCTGGGCAGAGGTGGTAGCAGGAGAGGGTCTTCATCAGAGAATATAGCCCGATACTGTGTAATGACGTCAAACAAGTGGACACGGCAGCTCTCAATGGTTTTAGTCAGGTGGAAATATGGGTCATCCTGAGGGATGCAGCACTGCAGAGATCGTAGCCAAGCATCCCGGGCCTGGAGGAACTTGATACGCAACTCAGCCTCAGTGAATACATCCATCCTGCGAAGGTAGCTAATCACACGTAAACAGGCTGGAAGCTGAATACTGCTGCGGAGCTGCTGCAGAAGCTGATTTAACATGAGCTGTGAAGATTGCCTGACCTCATTTACTATTCCCTGCCAAGAAAAACAAAATCAAAAAAAACTGTATCAGAAGAGTACAGTACCAGACAGAAAAGAAAAAGCAAATGCCCAGGGCAGGCCTTTTGGTGGCAAGAAAAAAGGGATTTTCCCACCGATCATCAATATATACATTTTTAAATGGAAATTCATTACATCACCCATTGGCAAGTTTTATTCCAGCAGAGATACAATATACTGTACCTATAAACAGGCAACAGTTTCGCAGAGGTATTCTGTAGGAAAACAAATTATTTGACATTCGTAATATTTGTGTATATGTACTAGAATTAACTAAAGGTTAAAAGCAAACAGCCAAAACACACAAATGAACTACATAAAAAAAAAAAAAAAAAAAAAAAAAACCCACACAGTTTAACTTTTGTATTTCTGTCCGTCCAGTCCCGAGATTTACCCAGCCCTGCCACAAAGCACAGCCCTGTCTGAGAGGACAGAAGATCTGAATTTGTTTTTGCTGCAGTCAACTACCACTTACAGGTTATGTCCCTCCCTTACTATGTGGCTGGACTATCAAAGAAGTAGCAACATACCGATGAGCTCATTTCTCAATCACGCTGCTCTCTCCTCCTAATAGCTTCTTTCTTGTTGGTATTTGAGCACTATAGCACAACTGACTAGATTCTTGTGCTGATCTCTTGTGCTCTCAGTTGGAGCTCTGCTGTACATGGGACTGCAATGTCACACTCACAGTCAGGTACCTTTACTACTTGCATTTAAAATACATACTTGTAATGATGTTAATCTCCCTCTTAGATTGAAAGCTCCAAGGAGCAGGGCCCTCCTAACCCTCTTGTATTGAACTGTATTGTCTCCCGTTATATTGTAAAGCGCTGAGCAAACTGTTGGCGCTATATAAATCCTGAATAATAATGGAATAAATATTGATGAGAGCTGCATTTATTTGTGTCTTTGATACTTGACTGGAGCTCAGCTTTAAAAAAGACATACACTCACCAGCCACTTTATTAGGTACACCTATTCAATTGCTTGGTAACACACAAATTGCTAATCAGCCAATCACATGGCAGCAATGCATTTAGGCATTTAGACATGGTGAAGAGGACTTGCGGAAGTTCAAAATCGAGCACCATAATGGGGAAGAAAGGGGATTTAAGCGACTATAAACATGACATGGTTGTTGGTGCCAGACGGGCTGGTCTGAGTATTTAAAACAACTGATAATGATCTACTGGGATTTTCACACACAACCATCTCTAGGGTTTAAAGAGAATGGTCTGAAAAAAAATAAAAAAAAATAGCCAGTGAGAGACTGTTGTGTGGCTGAAAATGCCTTGTTGATGTCAGAGGAGAATGGCCATCCATTTAGGACTACAGTGTACCCATCTTCTGATGGCTACTTCCAGCAGGATAATGCTTATAATAATTCCAACACCTTGTTCAATCTATGCCATGAAGAATTAAGGCAGTTCTGAAGGCAAAAAGGGGGGGGGGGGGGGGGGGGTAGTTCAACCTGGTACTAGAAAGGTGTACCTAATAAAATGGCCAGTGAGTATGTGGCCTTTACTTTGTATCATCAAATTCTTACTAATAGTAAGAAAAACACAATGAATATACCGTATTTGTCGCTCCATAAAACGCACCTAGGTCTTAGAGGAGAAAAAACAAGAAAAAAAAAATAAATATTCTGAACCAATGGACTGCAGACACAGTACAGGAAATGACCAAGAGACTGCAGACAAAGTACAGGGGGATGACCAAGAGACTGCAGACAAAGTACAGGGGGATGACCAAGAGACTGCAGACAAAGTACAGGGGGATGACCAAGAGACTGCATGCCTTTGGGGAGGGAGGGGGAGCGGGTACCTGAATTTGACAGGTATCCACACCCACGGAGTTGTCCTCCCTTTAGTGTGGGTACCTGGCTGTGACAGCTGGGTGCCCACACTAAAGATGCCGGCGCGGGAAGACTGTACAGCGCTGGACCGAGGAACAGGTAAGGTCCTGCTGCAGAGAAGAGCTGAGCGGCGGCCCGGTATTCTGACACAATGGCGTCAGAAATACTGGACTGGCCGCTCCATATGACGCACTGACATTCCCCCCCCCCCTTTTTTTTTGGGGGGGGGGGGGGGGGGGGGAGTGCGTCTTATGGAGCGAAAAACACGGTATTAAGCAAAATCTTGTGAGCTGCTATTCCAAATATAAAATACCCCCAAAAATGTATATATTGTACTGTATAAATATTAGATCGCTTGCACTACACATACCCATACAAATGTGCCAATACTTATAAAGATCAAAACTGTGCCGCGCTCTACTTAAAACTAAAGTAAACAAACAACTAAATATGCACAAATCTTCCAACAAATTATTCAAGTGTCCGCATCAAATCCGTGATTCTCTATAATCACTGTAGTGTAGCAATTGATTCACCTCTTGTGATTTTATCAACACTTCTGCTCTCACCTTGTATATATGATCAAACCATTAAGTGAGCATGTGTCCCTTTAATTGGACTGTGATGAGATTGCTATTCAAAGGGTCTGGATCCCCTTCACTCCTCCAGTTGTCCTCCTCCATCGATTCAAATGCCAAGAAAAATAACCAAAACAGTGCTTTATCCTAATAAAAAGCATTTATTTAATATAAGCTGTATTCCACTCACATGTATAATATAATAATGCACTTTTTGCAAAGATCAATTGCTCCAAAAATGCCGCTAGCGATTCTAGCATACACAGCCAGCTGATGCCATTCTCACTTGTCGAGCATCAAAGCCCCTTCCCTACGAGTTAGGCCACAGGGTCACGTGGCTTCATCAGGGGAATAAGCTGCATAGTCAAGTTGCCAGAAAGCCTGAGTTATTACCCGATAACTCTTACTCCAGGATGGCCATATCAGAGACAGATCCTGGAACACACACACACACACACACACACACACACACACACACACACACACACACACACACACACACACACACACACAGAAGGAGCTCCCATCCAGCGGCAGCTCCATGCCTCCTTTAACAAAGATGGTGCCTACCAGACACCTGGTTTGGGCGCCATCTTTCCTGTATCAATTCTGGTGGGGACTCCCCACCAGCCCCAATATGGCGGAATACTTACTTCCAGTTCCACTGCCATCTTGGATTACATCACTTTCGCTATCAGATGCCATCCATACGACCTTTTCCTCCAGCAGAAAGCGCTGGATGTTTTGCCAGGAATGGATCTCCTGGTCTATTCCATGTGAAGCCATGGAGGAAAAGTAGCAGAATCATGCAAAGGCCCAACCACCCGGCTAGCACAGCAGGTTAGCCACCCCACAAGCCTCCACCTGTTTAAACAACCCCATATTGGGTGCAAACAGGCAGCCATTCACTACATGAACAGCAATGGAAACAAAGGAAGTCCTGGGACGTCCAAGGCTTCCTTCGTCTGTCCTCTCCCACCACACGCCTACAGCGGGCACCCCTAGTCCACCAAACACAGGGGGGTGGGCGGTATCCAGGGACACCTGCCCAGAACAGACCCTGAAACGCAAAAAAAAAAAAAAAAAAACCAAACTTCGGGAGCTATGCTGATGTTTGTAGGATGCAGGAAACACAAGAACTGAGGGGGCAGCCTTTTAAACTTGTGTTACCTGTAGGAGGAGAAGCCTCTCATATAACCATCCTGGAGGATGACTTGGGAAAGATGCCTTTACTGCTTCAATGCCACAAGAAGAAAAAAAAAAAAAAAAAAAAAAAAGCCTGGTTACAACACCTTGATAGGCCTCACAGCTTCTGGAACACTGTAATTTGGAGTGACGAGACCAAAATAGCACTTTATGGTCACAACCATAAGGCTATATTTGGAGAGGGATCAAAAAAAGCCTACAGTCACAAAAATACCATCTTCACTGTGAAGCATAGTGGTGGCTTGCTGATGTTTTGGGGGTGTATGAGCTCTAAAGGCTCAAGTTGACCTTCCAGTGGTTACAGAAGAAAAAAAAAAAAAGAAGATTTTGGAGTGTCCATCACAGTCTCCTGACCTTAATATCACTGAATCACTCTGGGGAGATCAAAAATGTGTGGTTCATGCAAGATAAGAAAATACTTTGCATGGCCTGGAGGCATTATGCAAAGATGAATGAACATCTATACTACATGCAAGAATTCAGGGCCTCAGACAACTATTACAAAAGACTGCAAGCTGTCATTGATGCTAAAGTGGGCAAAACACAAGATTAAGGGTATGCATATTTTGAACAGGATTAATTTCATTTGTTTATGTGTTGCCATGTTTTGTTTTAGTATTGTGCCATTCTGTTATGACCTACAGTTGAATATAAATCCCATAAAAATATGTTTTGCCCATTCACTTAGATTTTCTTTCAAAAATGGCACTGTATATTAACAATTTCCCCAAGGGTATGCAAACTTTTGTACAACTGTAGTTTTGAGATTTTTCAAACTATCAATGAAACCGACCTGGATGACAGGTATAGAAGAATGTTTCTTTTCTAGGCGTTTAGCATAGGCAGCAAGCTCCAGAGCCTCTTCATAATATCCATTGCGCACACAAGTATCCATTAACTGTGGGATCTCCAAGATCTCTAAGATTTCTGTATGTCGGTTCAAGGTCAGCGTGTTCATACGACGACTAGCACTGATATCTTCCGCTTGCTTAACAAAACCCCTGAAACAAAACAGTCTGCTTACTTTTCTTAAGTGACAAAGGGTGACAGAAAAGGTGCATGCAACACCAGTGAGAAGGAGCGATAGAGTAAGAAATATCATCAGAAGGGTGACAAAAGAGAACTAATAGTGGATGACAGTATTAAGGGAATGAAAGTGATCAAAGACAAAAGTGATAAGACAGATGGTAGAAGCAACAGGGAGAATAGATGGGTCAATACAGGAGTGGTGGAAATAAGGAAACAAGAAAAGGTGACATATTCATGAGGAATAAGAAAAGGTTAAAGTAAAAGGCAAGACAAAGATTGTCAATGTGTAAAAAAATGACTGTATAAAAATCAGGAGAAATTAAAATTATGTTGTCACTTTAAATAGGCACAAAGTACAAAAAGATTGGTATAAAAAATGAATAGCTCTATAATAGAATAGGTGTTGAGCAAGTAGATGGAAGTAAAATGAATGGCATCAAGCTTAAGCAGCAAGCAAGATGGAAAAAGCTGTGAAGAGTGACACAAATACAGCAGACACGGCCACATCATTCATTCACAGGGATCGGAGAATGAAGAAACTACAAGTACTGACTGCCATCACAGCAGATGCCTTGTAGTTGTCAATAGACTGAAGGCACTGAGGAGCACCCTCATAGTCTACTGACAATGCTTCTAGCGAACGGAAAATAGGTATATATACACTGCTCAAAAAAATAAAATAAAAAAAGGGAACACTTTGAAAACACATCAGATATCAATGGGGAAACATATCATGCTGGATATCTATACAGATATGGACTTGGTAAGGAATGTAAGGATGACCCATTGTTTGCATTCAGTCTTCTGTAGGTTGATAATTTTCATTTACATCAAAGGCATCCCTAAAATCAGTGAAAAAATGAAGCAGGCTAGTCATTTGGCTGAAATTTCATTAAAGCAACTCAAAAATGGTACTCAGTAGTTTGTATGGCCCCCATGTACTTGTATGCATGCCTGACATCGGGGCATGCGCCTAATGAGAACAAATAGTGTCCTGGGGGATTTCCTCCCAGATCCAGACCAGGGCATCACTGAGCTCCTGGACAGTCTGAGGTGCAACATGGTGGTGTTGGATGGACCGAAACATGATATCCCAGAGGTGTTCTATTGGATTTAGGTCAGGCGAGTGTGGGGGGGCATTCAATGGTATCAATTCCTTCATCCTCCAGGAACTGCCTGCATACACTTGCCACAAGAGGCCAGGCATTGTCGTGCACCAGGACCCATTGCCCCAGCGTAGGGTCTGACAATGGGTCCAAGGATTTCATCCCAATACCTAATGTCAGTCAGGGGGTCATTGTTTAGCCTGTAGAGGTCCGTGCATATGCCTTCACAGACCATTGCTAACCCACCACCAAAATGGGCATGCTGAACGATGTTACAGGCAGCATACCGTTTCTGCACGGCTTCTCCTGACCCTTTCACATCTGTCACATGTGACCTGGGTGAACCTGCTCTCATCTGTGAAAAGCACAGGGCGCCAGTGGCAGACCTGCCAATTCTGGTAATCAATGGCAAATGCCATTCGAGGTCTACGGTGCCAGGCAGTGAGCACAGGGCCCACTAGAGGACGTTGGGCCCTCAGGTCACTCTCAAAGTCTGCTTCTGATTGTTTAGTCACAGACATTCACATCAGTGGCCTGCTGGAGGTCATTTTGTAGGGCTCTGGCAGTGCTCATCCTGTTCCTCTGTCCACAAAGGAGCAGATACTGGTCCTGCTGATGGGTTAAGGATCTTCTACGGCCCTGTTCAGCTCTCCTAGAGTAACTGCCTGTTTCCTGGAATCTCCTCCATGCTCTTGAAACTGTGCTGGGAGACACAGCAAACCTTCTGGCAATGGCATGTATTGATGTGCCATCCTGGAAGAGTTGGACTGCCTATGCAACCTCTGTATGGTTCAGGTATTGCCTCATGCTACCAATAGTGACACTGACTTTAGCCAAATGCAAAACTAGTGAAAAACAGTCAGAAAAGAGGGGAAAAAAAAAAAAAAAAAAAAAAATGTCAGTAGCCAACATGTATAAAACCATTCCTGTTTTGGGGATCATCTCATTGTTGCCCATCCAGTAATGAAGGGTTTATGTTTTTGTTTTTTTTATTACACACAGGTGCTTTTAGGAATGTCTGCGGCTTTTAAAAGCAAAAGGGGGTTTTGGCAAATTAAACTTTTAATGTTTTTAACCTTGTGCGTTTATCTCATACTCTCCTCCCTGCCTGTCTCCAGCACAACACCCGGGAACTAGCAGCGGGGGAAAAGACCTTGCAGTGTGACAAGCACTGACTGGGTAAAATATCAAAGAAAAAAAAAAAACTAACGCTAGATCTATGTGACAGGAGCAGCTAGCATGAAAGGTAGTCACCTCAAAAACCTTCTATACCACAAAAATATCATACACCATGCAGCGCTTGAATAGATCAAAATTATCCTGAGTGATGACTTATTATTATTTATTTATTTCAGGTACTTATATAGCGCTGTCAATTTACACAGCACTTTACACATATATATTGAACATTCACATCAGTCCCTAACCCTCAAGGGGTGTACAATCTAAAGGTCCCTAACTTACATTTATACATACTAGGGCCAATTTAGACAGGATCCAATTAACCTACCAGCATGTCTTTGGAGTGTGGGAGGAAACCGGAGCACCCGGAGGAAACCCATGCAAGCACAGGGAGAACATGCAAACTCCATGCAGGAGGCGCCATGGTCAGGAATTGCACCCATGACCCATTTACTGCAAGGCAGACGTGCAGTACGAATATCTGTGTAGCATCGGTTTAGCCGAGATGATTAATATAATAAAGAGGTATTACACAATAATACAGATAGGTGATAAATCGTGACAGTCTATCTAATATTTAAAATATTGGATGGTGACTTTGGTGGTAGATATAGCTGTTAAATGCACTAACCAGATAGGGCTTATTATTGCGCATATAATTGATGATATTAGGTCATCTATGGCTGGACATCCAGTATTCGGATCGGTTGATGAGCACCACCAGGAATTGTAGTATATCAGCCAGTGCATCCAAGTAAAATGATGCGATCTGAATCCACCAGGGGAAACCAGCGGTCAAGATATAAAGGATCCAAAGCTCAAAAACACATATGTGTGTAGTATAGATGGAATCCCCCAGAGGGTGCCAGTAGTTAGCATGTCATCCAAAGGGCTCCTTAAAACGAAGCACTGACTGGGTGCCCGTCAGGAAGGGGGAGTTTTGGGTTCTTTTAACACTCAGCAGAAGTGCATCTGCTGAGTGAGTAAATAAGGCACCGGTCCCAATGAAAAAACAAACAAAAAACAAACAAAAAATAGTTTTTCCTTAGGTTGCCCTTGCACATGAACACTTGGGTGCTCAGTACTAGTGCCTGCTGAACAGCCAAATCAAGCTCCAGTGTCCACTCGGTTAGGCCCAGTTTACACCAGGGCATTTTGGGATTGCAGAAGCTGCAATTCTGCCTGCAATCTCAAAGTGCAGGTTCAGGTGCCATTTTCAATGGCACCGAAAAGGTGGTGCATTTTTTGCTTTGGTCGCGTGATTAATTGCTCTGCAAATTGCATCTCGTGAAGCTTGTCACCCAAAAAGAAGCAGGAGCTTCTTTTGGGCAACAAGCTTCATGTGATGCGATTTGCTGGGCGACAATTGCAACAAAACAGCACCACATTTTAGGTGCATTGAAAATAATGGCACCTGAACCTGCATTTTGCAAACGTAGGCAGTATCGCATCGATTCTGCTGGGGGGGGGGGGGGGGGGTGGGAGGAGGGAGGAGGAGGATTCCAGTCCAGCAAAAAGTGTCTCTGCAGAGAGCTCCGCTATTTCTGACAGTTCTCCGACAGTTCCTTGACATTTACAGCGGTTGAAACATTGTATCTATTTGTTTCCGAATAAAAACATCTGTATCCTAAATGGAAACAAATAGATACATTGTTGCAACTTCTATAAATGTCAAGGAACTGTCAGAGAACTGTCAAAGAAATAGCAGAGCTCTCTGCAGGGACACTTTTTGCCGGCTCTAGACGGGTAGAAAATCGGCCGATTTTTTTTACCATTGATGGTAACGTCGGCCACTTGAACAACCGATTTTTCGTTTTTTAAAAGAAAAATCTGCACTTTTTCTCCCCATCTATGGCCTGCATTAGTGTCACAAAGATTAAAAATTTTGTTTTTCAGTTTAACTCATGGATGGCATTGTGTCTCAGGGCTCTTTTGATCGCTAAAAACAATCTCGGACACCTGTGATAATTAGATTGGCAGGTGAGCCCAATTTAAGGAAAAACTACTAAAGGAGGGTGTTCCACATTATTAAGCAGAGCACCATTTTCAAGCAATATGTGTAAGAAAAAGGATCTCTGCTGCCGAAAAGAGTGAAATAGTTCAATACCTTGGACAAGTTATGAAAAAATTTGATATTTCACAAAAATGTAAGCGTGATCATCGCACTATTAAGAGATTTGTGGCTGATTCAGAGCACAGACGGGTTTGTGCAGATAAAGGCACATTAAGGAAGATTTCTGCCAGATCCATGCATCGGATCAAGAGAGCAGCTGCTAAAATACCATTACATAGCAGCAAACAGATATTTGAGCTGCTGGTGCCTCTGGAGTCCCATGGACATCAAGGTGTAGAGTCCTCCAGAGTCTTGCAACTGTGCCTAAACCTTCTATTCGACCACCACTAACCAATGTTCACAAGCAGAAACGGCTGCATTGGGCAGAAAAAACACATGAAGACTAATTTTCAAACAGTCCTGTTCACTGATGAGTGCCGTGCAATCCTGGATGGTCCAGATGGATGGAGTAGTGGATGGTTGATAGACGGTCACCCTGTTCCAACAAGGCTGCGATGTCAGCAAGGCGGTGGTGGAGTCATGTTTTGGGCCGGAATCATGGGAACAGAGCTGGTCAGCCCCTTTAGGGTCCCCGAAGGTGTAAAGATGACCTCTGCAAAGCATGTGGAGTTTATGACTGACCACTTTCTTCCCTGGTACAGAAGGAAGAACTATGCTTTTCGTAATAAAATCATCTTCATGCATGACAATGCACCATCTGATGCTGCAAAGAATACCTCTGCATCAATGGCTGTTATGGGGATAAAAGAGAAAGTCATGGTGTGGCCTCCATCCTCCCCTGACCTCAATCCTATTGAGAACCTTTGGAGCATCCTCAAGCAAAAGATCTATGAGGGTGGGAGGCAGTTTACATCCAAACAGCAGCTCTGGGAGGCTATTCTGACATCTTGGAAACAAATTCAAGGAGAAACTGTCCAAAAACTCACAAGTTCAATGGATCCAAGACTTGTGAAGCTGCTATCAAATAAGGGGTCCTATGTTAAAATGTAACGTGACCTGTTAAAATGTTTAAAAAAAAAGTTAAAAATGTTGTTAAAAGTTTGATTGAAATAGCTTTTGATTTCAGTAAATATGCTGCAAACACAACAAATGACAATTTTCTGTTCTTTACAACCTATAAAGTGTTTTGAAACCTACTGTGCGTAATAATTTGGAACAGTGCATTGTAAGTTTGTTTAAAAAAAATACTGTTATTAGGTTTGTTCAATAAAATTTGTACTCTTAATAGTCAACTTGAGAATTATGCTGTTATTTACATCAATTATTTAGGCAAATATGCAAATGATATTTTTCTCAATAATTTGGAACAGGGTATATACACAGGTGAAACTCGAAAGATTACAATATCGTGCAAAAGTTCATTTATTTCAGTAATGCAACTTAAAAGGTGAAACTAATATATGAGATAGACTCATTACATGCAAAGCAAGATAGTTCAAGCCGTGATTTGTCATAATTGTGATGATTACAGCTCATGAAAACCCCCAAATCCACAATCTCAGAAAAATTAGAATAAATTGTGAAAAGGTGAAATATTCTAGGCTCAAAGAGTCCCACTCTAATCAGCTAATTAAGCCATAACACCTGCAAAGGGTTTCTGAGCCTTTAAATGGTCTCTCAGTCTGGTTCAGTAGGAATCACAATCATGGGAAAGACTGCTGACCTGACAGTTGTGCAGAAAACCATCATTGACACCCTCCATAAGGAGGGAAAGCCTCAAAAAGGTAATTGCAAAAAAAGTTGAATGTTCCCAAAGTTCTGTGTCAAAGCACATTAATAGAAAGTAATGTGGAAGGGAAAAGTGTGGAAGAAAAAGGTGCACAAGCAGCAGGGATGACCGCACCCTGGAGAAGATTGTCAAGAAAAGGCCATTCAAAAGTGTTGGGGACTTTCACAAGGAGTGGACTGAGGCTGGAATCAGTGCATCAAGAGCCACCACACACAGCCGGATCCTGGACATGGGCTTCAAATGTCGTATTCCTCTTGTCAACAACAAACAACGTCAGAAGTGTCTTACCTGGGCTAAAGAAAAACAGACCTGGTCTACTGCTCAGTGGTCCAAAGTCCTCTTTTCTGATGACAGCAGCTTTTGCATCTCATTTGGAAACCAAGGACCCAGAGTATGGAGGAATAATTGAGATGCTTGAAGTCCAGTGTGAAGTTTCCACAGTCTGTTGATTTGGGGAGCCATGTCATCTGCTGGTGTTGGTCCACTGTGCTTCATTAAGTCCAGGGTCAATGCAGCCATCTACCAGGAGATTTTGGAGCACTTCATGCTTCTTCCGCAGACGAGTTTTATGGGGATGCTGCCTTCATTTTCCAGCAGGACTTGGCACCTGCCCACAATGCCAAAAGCACCAAAACCTGGTTCAATGACCGTGGGATTACTGTGCTCGATTGGCCAGCAAACCTGCCTGACCTGAACCCCATAATCTATGGGGCATTGCCAAGAGAAAGATGAGAGACATGAGACCGAACAATGCAGAAGAGCTGAAGGCCGCTATTGAAGCATCCTGGTCTTCCATAACACCTCAGCAGTGCCACAGGCTGATAGCTTCCATGCCACACCGCATTGAGGCAGTAATTGCTGCAAGAGGCCCAAACCAAGTACTGAGTACATATGCATGCTTATACTTTTCAGAGGTCTGATATTGTTCTATGTACAATCCTTGTTTTATTGACTGCATGTAATATTCTAATTTTCCGAGATTGTGGATTTGGGGTTTTCATGAGCTGTAAGCCATAATCATCACAATTGACAAATCATGGCTTGAACTATCTTGCTTTGCATGTAATGAGTCCTATCTCATATATTAGTTTCAACTTTTAAGTTGCATTACTGAAATAAAATGAACTTTTGCACGATATTCTAATTTTTGAGTTTCACCTGTAGACTGCGATATGGTGGTTGTGGTACCTGCAGGTCTCCTGAAAATTAGATAGTGGCGAGATAGTGAGGACATAAGGGAGAAATAAGTAAAGTGGGTATAGAAAAGACCCCCCCCCTTTTAAAATAATCACATTTTTAGGTTTTGCAGCCTAAAATGAAGACTAGCACAGATTTTGTTTAATCCAGTTGTACTTACTCACTGCAACTTATAACATCTAAGCGAGAGATAAAATACCATGTAAGCAAAAAAAAAATTTAAAAAACAAAATCACCGAGTGAATGGAAACGTATGTTTTTGGTCTGTCCTCACTCCATGTTGTTTCTTGTATTCCATTTTGATTAATTGCTTTTGTATTATACCCAGAATGAGTTAATGAAAATGTGAAGACGTGCATGTAAAAAGCTGTGTATGTATTATAGAACTGTACTCACAATATTCTTTTATTTCTTATCTTAGCCTTGGAAGAGGCAGGGATAGTATCCAATTATTTCTTTGTACTAACAGCACCTGTTTCTGCTATGATATAGTTAAAAGTCAAAGACTTCTGTCTCATGGGAAAATAACTGTTGGTTACTTGTAACGAATTTCAAGGCCTGAGAAATCTCACGTTCACAGCCTTGACAAGTATCCAGCGAAATCCTATTGTATGGTTTTCTTTGTTACAATATAAGAAAAAGAATCTACGAATAAAGATTCAGATTGTCTTCTAGAAACCTGTGTGTGCATGCTAATTTCTTTCTTCCAGAACACAGTCTTAGGCCCAATGGGGGAACCGAAATCTACCAGTGGTCATTGGAAGCACAAATCCCTTTCACCGAGTTGCAAAAAGGATCACCACCCCCTTCCCCTACTAAAAATTACTTGTAAACTCAGTCAGGTGTAGATAATCACCTTCTCAATGGCACCCAAAGCAATTTGACTTTCAACTGTGATCATTTTGATTAGCTCAGAATGAAAAAAAAAAGCTTTCCTGGAGATTTTCAGTCCCCAGCAAACAATCAACTGTGGGTGGTAATGCACTGTCAAAAGATCGCCGGGATAAAGTTGTGGACAGGCAGAAGTCAGGAGATGGATAGGAAAAAATGTTAAAGACTTTATCAATGCCTACAAACACACAAGTCTGTTATTAAGAAGTGGAAGGTATTTGGTACAACACAGACGCTCCCTGGATCAGGACGTCACTCCAAACTGGATGAAACAGCCAGGAGGAAACTGGCCAGAGAGGCTACCAAGAGACCTACAGCAACTCTGAAGCATTTGCAAGAATTTATGACAAAGAGTGGTCACTGTGTGCATGTGAAAACAAAATCACAAATTCTCCACAAATGTGGCTTCTATAGGAGGGCTGCAAGAAAAAGGACAATCCTTAAGAAAGGCCACATGCAGTCACAACTGAGCTTTGCCAAAACGCACTTTGAAGATTCTGAGGCCACATGGAAAAAGTCGTTATGGTTAGATGAGACTAAAACTGATTTATTTGGCCTCAACAATAAATTATATGTCTGGCGGAAATCCAATACAGCTCATCATCCAAATAACACCATTCCTACAGTAAAGCATGGAGGTGGTAATATCCTGTTATGGGGTGTTTCTCTGCATCAGGGACTGGAGCACTTGTTAGGATAGAAGGAAAAATGAATGGAGCAAAATACCATCAAATTTTTTTGGAAAATCTGCTGCCCTCTGACAAAACGTTGTTAATGGGAAGAAGTTTTACATTTCAACATAATGACCCAAAGCATTCAGCAAAAATAACCCCCACAGTGGTTGAAGGAGAAAAGGTTTAATGTCCTTGCATGGCCTAGTCAGAGCCCCGACCTAAACCCCATTGAAAATCTGTGGAATGACTTAAACTGCAGTCCACAAATGGTCACCATCAAATTTAACTGAACTTGAGCAGTTCTGCAAAAAAGAGTGGGCAAATATAGCAAAGTCTAGATGTACAAAGTTAGTAGAGACAGATGCCAACAGCCTAAAGGCTGCAATTAAAGTAAAAGGTGGTTCAACAAAATAGTGGCACAAGAGGGTAATCCTTTTTCCAACTCAGTAATTCTGTTTTTGATTTTTTTCGTTACATGTTGATGTTATATCTTTAACTTGGATGTTATAAGTTGCAGAGTAATTACTTCTGGACAAAACAAAAATTTTCTTCATATCAGGCTGCAAAGCATCAAAATGTGATTAAAAAAAAAAAAAAAGGGGGGGGGGGGTGATTCTTTTCTATACCCGCTCTACATTGACGGCGCTGCTGGTGGTATAATTGTGACAGAACAGGGTACCCAGAGTCTGGCAGAATGAACGAGAGCAAGTGGGGTTAGGAAGACAGTGATATGGTGGTGATGGAAGGAGGGGCACCTTCATGTCTCCTGAGTCAAGTGGATAGAGGAGACCAAGGGGAGGTAGAGGATACTCAGGGATAGTATGGTGGTGATGCAGGGCAGACAGTAGCAGGATGAGGACAGTGATGAGGGCACTATGGTGGTGATGGAAATCACCTGGAAGTCAGGGAGTAGGAGTATAAAGGATCTATAGTGGTTAGGATACTTTCATAGTGGTGGGAGTACTAGCAGAAGTAGGATGAGGACAGTGATGATAGTACTATCGTTGATGAGGGTACTCTGGTGATGATGGGGGTACCTGCAGGTCTCCTGGAAGCCGGGCACTTTGGCCAGCAGGCGGGACACATTGTCCTCCACTTGCCCGAAGTCCCGGTAGATGAGCTCGGTGCACTCGGCGGTGCGGATGAAGGTCTTGTAGTGGGTGAAGGCCAGCTCCCGGGTCTGCTGCAGGATCTGCGCTCGCTCTTCGCTCAGCCGCTCTGGTTCCCTCCTTAGCTTCTCTACTCCAAAGGAGCTGAGTTCCAACAAGTAGGCAGCAAAGTCCGGGCTGTCCCGCCAGCTCTCCGGGAAGCTGCTACGGAACACCGAAGCCAGAACACTCTCTTCTTCCACGTCTACCGCCGCCATCATCACTCTAGAATGTAACACTTCAACAAAACTTTACACACTTCTTTGTGGAAGCGCTGCGATCTTTATTGAGAACGGACAGCCGGCTTCCACAGCGCTGTAAATGACAACTCCACGTTGCCCTTTACGAGGTAAGGAGAGATGTGACAGCCCTTGATGTTCACAACAGTAAGCGACGTATGTCCCGCCCACAAAGCGGGCCGGTCGCACTCTAGAGACGTAATCAGCCTGTCCTTATAGCGTGAATGGGTGACAAGACGCAGATATGATTTTTCTACCTGTTGTGTAAAAGGGGTATGTTAGTATATTACGTTGTGCGGGTATATTAGCAGTCATGTACCTTCGGGTTCTGTACAGTCTTGCTGCCATGACAGGTTTTAGGTGGTCGGTGGATACTGGATTTGTATACAAGGCAGCCGGGCACAGTCCAGTTCTAGCTCAGCCAAGCTGGCCCTCTTACAATCGGTACAAATAAAACTTCAGTGTATTTCTTTAGTGCTACGTTTGTGCTACATTTATTTTTGAGATATTAGCAATTGTTTTTTTTTCCCAGATGATGACATCACCCAGCCTCCCTACAACAGCCAAAATACACAAAACCAGGCTGGTTGGTTAATGCCACGTTTGTGCTGGTTTGTTCTGTTTAAATCTCTGTTCTATCGTTTTTGCGTTAGCGAGTTATTAAAGGTCACCCAGCCTCCCTAGAACAGCCAAATGACATGAAACCAGGCTGGTTGGTTAGTGCTGTGTTTGTGCTGCTAATTTTTTTTATTTGTGCTGTTATGGTTTTTTTTAGTTATAACAGGTTGTTTTTGCTTTATCATACCCCACACACTTTGCACCCCATGTTATTAAATCTTGAATACAAATATAGCATTTGTTAGTGCTAGATTTGTGCTGTTTTGTGCCATAAAAGATTCATTTGTGCTGCTTTTATTTTTAAGACATTAGCAATTGTTTTTTTTTTCCAGCTGATGACATCACCCAGCCTCCCTACAACAGCCAAAAGACAGGAAACTGAGCTGATTGGTTAGTGCCATGTTTGTGCTGTTTAAATCTCTGTTCTATCGTTTATCGTGTTTGAATTATAACCGATTTATTAAAGGACACTAAAGGTCACCCAGCCCCCCTACAACAGCCAAAAGACATGAAACCAGGATGGTTGGTTAGTGCTGTGTTTGTGCTGCTTAAATCTCTGTTTTATCGTTTTTCCATTGATTACCGATTTATGAAAGGTTGCCACAGTTCACCCAGCCCCCTACAACAGCCAAAATACAAGAAACCAGGATGTTAGTTCGTTCAAGCTAGGATAGCTGAAGGGACCTTAGAAGGGTGTGTGATTACTAAGCTGGTCCTCAACTCTAATCAGGGCACCAGGTTGTATGTAAGATCATATCTGCCAGTGTGTGGTCGACCAGCTAAATTGGAGTGGAGTCTCCATCCGGTGGTGGCCAGAGGTAGTGCGGGCTGTGAAAAGGTATCACGGCTGATCTTATATATGGTTTGAGATATTCAAGTGTAAATCCCCCTTATTCCCTCTCTTTACCACCCTGTCGCGGCCGCACGCGCGTCTCGGTTAGCTAGTCGCTGTGGGTGTGGTGGACACGTGACAGGGTGATCTTTGACAAATCCTTGACAACTGTCAAGGATTTGTCAAAGATCACACTGTCACGTGTCCACCACACACCACGCCCACAGCGACTAGCTAACCAGATGATGATATTACCCAGCCCCCCTACAACAGTCAAAATACACGAAACTGGGCTGATCAGTTAGAGCCGCATTTGTGCTGTTTAAATCTCTGTTCTATGTCTTATCGTTTGTGAGTTATCACCGATTTATTAAAGGTCACCCAGCCCCCCTACAACAGCCAAAAGATAAAAAACCGGGCTGGTTGGTTAGTGATGCTACATTTTTTATTTGTGCTATTATTGTTTTTTAGGTATAATAGGTTTTTATTTTTATCAAACCCCACCCATTTTGCACCCCATATTATTAAATCTTAAAAAATATGCTGCTTTTATTTTTAAGATAATAGCAATTGTTTTTTCCAGATGATGATATCACCCAGCCCCCCTACAACACCAAAAAGAAATGAAACCAGGCTGGTTGGTTAGTGCCGTGTTTCTATTGGTTTGTGCCATTTCACTCTCCATTCTATCTCCTTTTTGTTTTAAAGTTATAATTGATTGGTCAGCAAAGCTCACCCAGCCCCCCACAAGAGACAAAAGACAGGCACCAGGCTCTGTAAGCATTGCACTCTGTACCCTGGGGGAAGGCACTAATATAGGATAAGCAACCTCATGCTTGATGTTTTGACTGTTACCTGAGAGACTAGGGGGTAAATCAAGTGAATTGAAGTTTAACCCACTTATTTTTACTGTTTTTGTGTTTCTTAGTGATGCAGCCATGTGTATACATTGTGTTCTGGGTTAGCCAGAATTTAAAATCCCTTTAGCAATATGCTGAAATCATTAACCACTTTCCCTCCAGAGGATTTCCCCCCCCTTCCTGACCAGGTCATTTTTCATGATACTGCGTTGCATTACTTTAACTGACAGTTGTGCGGTCATGCAACCCTGCACCCAAATTAAATTTATGTCCTTTTTCCCACAAATGGAGCTTTCTTTTGGTGGTACTTGATTGCTTGTGCCTTTTTTATTTATAAAATACAAAAAAAAAACCCCACAATTTTGAGAAAAAAAAACTATATTTTTGACTTTTTGCTATTAAACTTATCCAGTAAAAAAAATAAAAAAATCAAAGATTTAGGCCAACATGTATTCTGCTACGTCTTTGCTAAAAAAAAAAAAAAAAAAATCCCAATATGTGTAAATTTAATTGTTTTACATGAGAGCTATAGCGTCTACAAATGGTATATATAGTGAAATTTAAAATTTTAAAATTAATGGCGGTGATCAGCAACTTATATCGGTACTGCAGCAGGCATTCTGACACTGGGGGGAACTGACTGTCAGTGACATCCCCAGTGACACTAATACAGTGATCAGTGCTAATAATAAGCACTGACACTGTGCTAATGACACTGGGCAGGAAGGGGTTAACATCTGGGGCTATCAAAGGGTTAACTGTGTGCTGGGTGTGTGTTACTGTGTCAGCAAATTGCTTTGTATTGCTCAGCTCTGCTATGCTGACTGGGAACCTATTCTGACTTTAACTGGTCTTTTCGCTAAAAAGTGAACTGTAAGGGAATTGCAAATGTTCTACAATTCAACACTTTTTACAAATGTATGTGTGTATGTATATATCAAATGAACACCAAATGATGCAAGCAAGTCAGTTTGTGATGTGTTTTAGAAACTGATGCATGGAGAATACTTAAGTGTTACTAAACTCACAACAGTAAAATCAGTCTGTATATGCAGTAAAGCATGCTTGTTATACTGCACTATGCACGTATAACTGCACTTATACTGTAACTGTGCTTGTTACAGTGGAACAGTGTTAAAGTGGAACCTGAGGGGTTAAATCTATGCATTGTGTAAAAAAGGCTGTTTGATCCTATCTTCTCTGATCTTCCCCTTCTACAGTCCCCAATCCATCTGCTGATAATACAGAGCCCTAGGAGTCACTCTGCACATGCTCAGTTTGCGGTGTATTGCTAGAGAGGTTTTTTTTACTTTGGAAGAGTGCATGTGTGATCAGCACAGGACCAATCGGCACTGAGTGGACAGAGAGTTCAGGGGTCATGCAGCCTCAATGTACAATCAGGGAGAACGAAAACTCCTTCTACAAGATTTAACCAGTACTCTGCTGGACACTGATAAAAGTCACAAGACTGCTTTAACTGCTGATAAGAAAAGGTTTTTAGCAGTTTATATTTATTAAAATAATTGCATTTCCATGTTCTGTGTATTGTGGGAGACCAGATATAGTGAATGCAGGGTCCGGGGAGACCAGATATAGTGAATGCAGGGTCCCGGGAGAAGGTATATAGGTGGGTTTAGTAACACTTTCAGTATAAGCTTGCAACAGTTGTAGCCTTTACTAATACATGTTGTGCAAGGTGTAGGGAGAATATTAAGATATAATATCTCAGAAACCAAACTGGCACAAATATTTTTAAGGTACAAAAGGTAGCATAAATGAATGGTACATTAACATTTAAAATTTAATAACACCGGGGGTAAGTGGGCAGGACTTGAGGTGACACAATGTAAACTATTATATGCAATATCTCTAAAAAAAGATCTCCAATATTATATGCAATATCTCTATCAAGATCTCCAACTCATCAAAATCTCCAAGTAGCTGTACTGTGCATGCACTGGTTGGAAATGTTTCGAGTAGCCTGCAGTAAATGGCGGACCACAGTTTGGACACAGATCAGTCTGTCAATCTGCAGCGCCCAATCACTGTTGCTCAGCGGTCGGTTGCTGGGACCACCAGTATCCCTGCAACCAGTGATATCACATGTGCGTGCTGCCACATGTAGCAAGTTTCTCAGCCCTGATCCTGCCTCCTGCAGCTCCCTTCTCCCATCTCCCACCCATGCCTTCCCAGCTACCGGACATATGCTGATATGCTGATCACTTGGATGGGATTTATAGGAACACTCTACTGGGCACACATGATGTAAAGGGGCACACTGATAACCACATATGGTGTAAAGAGGCACTTTGGTAGGCACATATGGTGCAAAGGGGCACTCTGGTGGGCACATATGATATAAAGGGGAACTTTGGGGGGGCACATATGATGTAAAGGGCACTCTGATGGGCACATATGGTGTAAAGGGGCAGTCTAATGTGCACATGGTGTAAAAAGGTACTCTGATGGACAAATATTGTGTAAAGGGGCACTCTGATGAGGACATACAGTGTAAAGTGACACTGATGAGCATCTATGGTGTAAAGTGGAACTGTGATGGGCACCTATGCTGTAAAGGGGGCACTCTGGTGGGCATATGTGATGTAAAGGGGCAATCTGATGAGCACATATGTAAAGGGCACTCTGGTGGGCACATATGATGTAAAGGG